CTATAGTTTAGTTCCTTAAGGCAATACAAACACGTGAAATACGATAGTATTATTAATACTTCATTACTATCACGGTGATACCAACATATATAATTTTAAGTTATATTTTTTTTTGATTTAAATCTAATATTTATTCTTAGTATATTAAAGGCAAGTATTTCTATAAAAAGCTTAGGTCTCTTCAAAGTTAATATTTTATTAATCTACGAGTTAATAATAGAATCAGAATCACTAATTAGTATTGATATCATTATAATAGTAATAAAGTATTAATAATATTATCGTATTTCATGTCTTTGTATTGCCTTAAAGAACTAAACTATAGAGATACTAATGCTAAATGATATACACTCTGTAGTGGTCAGAGTATCGCTTATTGCCCTAGCCCTTAGCCCTACTGCTCACTGCAGCTAAGTAAGTGATATCCAGACAATTCCCTTTTGATCATGATTATCTTTCTGTAATGCTATGATTAAATGATTGTTATACAACCATAAGAAAACTAAGCACAAAACAAAGCGATTGTAATGGTAATGGTAATACTTGAGTATAGAGATAGTATATTCATAGTTATATTCATATACATCACACATCCAATCACATCACACTATATCACATCACATCACATCACAGAATCTAAAAGACAAGCTTCAAGTTCGACACATAAACTATTTTTCTAATAGGATTAGAAGATAATGTTTATTATACCTAGGTATCCTCAAGATTGAGTGGAGATTAGAAGAGGAGGTCACATCACATCAAACCCCCCCAAATCCCCAATCCAAATCCCCAATCCCCAAACTCCTCATCCCAAATCCTCCCTTATTCAAAACCTCCAAAACCCCTCATTCCAAATCCCAAAACCCCTCATCCAAAACCCCCCAATCCCAATCACTCTACCTCCTCCCTCTACCCCCTTTCTCACCCCCCTTCCTCACCCCCCTTCCTCACCCCCATATCAAAACCCCTCATTCCAATTCCGAGCTTAGAAATAAAAAAAGAATTAAAAATATAAATACAAACAATAACATATTATTCCATACTGTACTGGTACTCGAGTACTCGAGAGTATAGGCAAACTAACTACCGTGACCTAACTACTCAAGTATTGTCAGATATCCATCCCAACAGCAAATATATCAATGATCAGGCTATATCTGGAGTCTAATATTTATTTGATTTTGATTAATTGATTGATTGATTGAAACCATGCCATGAGATGGTACATACAGCAATACAACATACATCAGAGAAGAGTACTTGAGATGAAATACCCGAGTAGTTTAGATGGAAATCCTCGTTACAAAACCATCACATCTCATCTCATCTCATCATATCAACCAGAAAACTATACAATAATTGCAACCGAGTATTTCCACAAAAAGTAATAGAATTTAAAATTTAGAAACCTAAAAGTTCCATAAAATATTATCGGGTATCTTTGGTGCATAAACCGTAAATGCAACCAAACGCCAACCCACATCTGACCTGATGTCCATCCGACCTATTCTCCCCTAAATCCCCACCCAGAATATTCCGAAACATTGCGCATCCTTATATCATATATTCCCCCGATAACAATCCTAAATCCTTCTACTTTTCATTTGTCTCTTCCTTTAAAGAGTTGTCTTTCGCATTTCCAGCTTCCAAAGCTTCTGTATCCGTGATCACAAGTTCACCATTCTCTCCCCAATTCGAATTGCTTCGACTTAATTTTCCGGTGGAGTTTGTAGGATCGCGTGGACTGGCTAGAGGGCTTCCTGGAGTAACCATTCCACCAATACTTCCAGAGATGCTATCAGTCCTACCATGTCCTAGTAATCCACTCTTCACACTTCCACCATCGTTGGCCAAAGATTGTTTGTTGGCGTAGTAACTATTTCTTTCACTTGGTAGAGCTGGAGCTACACCGGCGGAAGAATAAATGCTGGCTCTCTCATTTGCGAGCGGACGTGATTGATGTAGACCCGTAGAAGCTGCGATTGTAGCGCCTTCAATGGTGGCGCTCAGAACACTTAATGGAAGACTTTCACGACTGCCACCAAATACTGAAGATGGCGCCAAAGCACGAATGGATGCATCTGTGTCCATAGATCTTCTTCGTCTGCGTTGAGAAGATGAAGCGAGTGTCAAAATAGACGCATTATCTGTGAGAAGGTTATTTGCTGTAGCTGTATTGTACGTCGCAGGGTATCCACCGCTACCTTGAGGGGCCAAATGTGCGGGCAAGGCTGTTGCTGGTGGAGATGAAGGAAATTGATGCGTGAACACAATGCCCTGTGTGTTATTCGAGAGATTATGATGCGAAGCAGTGGGTATGGGAGCTGCACCAGAATGGATTGTCGTAAGCGTTGTAGTCAAAGATCTAACAGATGGTGCCGGAGAAGAAAATGTGCTATTAGCACCTCTACCAGTGCTCACCCCACAACCGATCGTTGCGTTTGTAGCCTCTCCTGAAGACGGCGCATGAGAGGCTGCGATATCTGATCGTGCAATGTCATGATCCTCTCCCGTGGTAGGAGCTAATGATTTGTTTCCAATGGTTGGTGGTGGGTGTCCATCATCGGAATATACTATTGATCTTCGACTTCTTTCCAATGATGACGTGCTGACCGAATTTCCGGTTGGGCCGGTTGAAAACGACAAATGTCGATTGGCAGGGGTAGACGCGGTCGCAGTACCATTGATATGACCAGATTCGGGGTATGGATTGTTATTCTTCGAGGGAGATTGTTTTTTCAAGCTCACCTTCTTCGTTTGTTGAGCATTTCGTTTCGGATTGGTGGTTTGATTGGAATCTGCAGTTGAGGAGTTACTTTTGAAGCTGGTAAATCTCTTCATCCATGATGAGAATGGTCTACGACGTCCTGCTACTCTATCTGAATGTTCTGGCATATCGGTCAGCGGATTGATAATTATTTGAAAATGAAGTCAGGTAAAGGTGGAAGGATGTGTTGATGCACAATCAATCGAAAGTACAAGTTGTGACAAATGAATTATGCGGTTTAGAACGAAAGCGGGATTTCAATGTGGCTCATACCATGTGGTTGTGAATTGGTAGGAGATGGTCGTTGCTGTGCTAACTCCGTTGCTGCCATGGTTCGAATCTTAGTTGCTTGGCTTGAGGCGGTGTTATGCGGAGAAGAGACGGAGAAGTGAAGGGGGTGATAATGAATTTAAAGCTTCCCAGTGGTCGGTTTGATGTATCTCGGTATTTCCCTTTGCATTTATCTGTCTGTTTTCTCTGGGGAAGCAGATAGATAAGAAAGAAGCAAGAAAGAAGTAATGAAATGAAAGTAATAGGAAACGGAAATTCCCTTTTGAAACAGAAAGGAGTGAGTGAATTGGATCCTTTCTTTTCTTTTCTTCTCTTCTCTTCTCTTCTTTAATTGAGATGATGAATCGATGAATCAATGAATTGATGAAGTGATTTTGATGGAAATTGTTTCGTGGGAACACTTCGTCACTCTCTAAGATTCAAGTACTAGTAGGTACCTAGTATATTACATACATAATCTATATAACCTCCGGTTGCCATAATAAGCCTAGTACCCGGTTATCAAAATCATGTGATTTAGTATTGGGTTTTGGATGTTGGATCCAACTTGGGAACTTGCAACTTCTGTATCGACATCAAAGTTTGAAGCTTTTCATTACTTTACACTGAATGGTGAAATGTTATCATTGTCGTCGTTGAATTTTACTCTGGGAATGTATTTATGGTCCTGTTACCGTTCATTCGCATGCGCATGATCTTGCTGGAAAGCTCTTGCTCGTTTTGCTCCTTCCAATATACCACTATCAATATGATTTGAATCACACAAAGGGTGGAAACAAATCTCTCCATTTCTCTATCTCCAATTAAATCGTTCTCACATTGCTTCCATTATGTCTATACAGCCATTGCCTTCGGATGTAATAGCACAAATCAAATCTTCTTCAACCATCACCAGCCTCAATGGTGTCATTTTTGAGCTCGTTAAAAACTCTTTGGATGCTAGTAGCTCCAAGATTGATATTGTTGTAGACTACAGTCGTGGAAGTTGTACAGTAGAGGATAATGGTCTTGGGATATTGCCATCAGAATTCGGTGAAGATGGAGGTCTAGGAAAGCTATATCGTATGTTGCTACACGCCTTCTGTTGTGGTCAAAAATGTAATTGATATACTAGATTCATCCAAGCTAGAGAGCTCAAATCCAACTCATGGCGTATCCGGAACATTTATTGCCTCGTTATCTGCTTTATCTTTGCTCTCGATTACTTCCCATCAGCACTTGCATCGCTCGCACAATTCGATAAGCATGCACAGATCCGAAGTCGTGTCACGTCAAATTCCAGCTCCTGTTCAACATCATCTTACTTCATTCGAATGTGGTACACGTGTGACTGTCCGAAATTTGTTCGGTAATATGCCAGTACGGGTTAAGCAGAGAGCAATCGCATCCGAGATACGCCAGATCAACGTCAAGTTGTGGGATGTTTTACGCAAAGGTATCATCTCACTGTTACTCGCATGGCCCAAAAAAGTTTCGGTGTCTATAAAGGAAGATGGTGCAGACCATAAAATCGCCATCCGAAGGTCTCATGGAACCTCCGACTGGCGCCCAATTGGCAGTGTTGATTTGCGCGATACGTGTAGTGTACTGTCCAAAGCTTCATTTATTGCAGTTGATGAGAAGTCTTCTTGGATCCCTGTCAGTGGTTCCACTTCAAGCTTAGCTGTCAATGGGGTGATATCTCTATTACCAAATGCGACCAAGCACGTGCAATTTCTGGCATTTGGCATAGAACCCCTGATTTCTCAAGATAATTCCAACATCCTGTACGAAGACATCAATCGTTGGTTTGTTAACTCTTCCTTTGGAAACCAAGAAGATGTAAGTGAGCTTGATAAAAATGAAATGGAAAGAAGATCCAAGGACCGAAGGTTCAAAGGTGGTGGGTATGCTAACAAAGAGCTCAAGGGAGGGAGGAAGAATGTTGATAAATGGCCAATGTTTTACATCAACATCCATCAATTTGATCAAAAGAAGGATTCCAATTGGAAAATTGATGATGTGTTAGACGGGAAGCGAAATACTCTCGATCAAATCGTGGAATTGTTGCGGGCGATCATTATGGAATTCCTGACAAGGAATCATTTTCGACCAAAATTGGCACGCGGTGGTCGCACCAAACAAGCTGCTCTGGCCACTGCATCCACAGACCTGGAGACTCAGACGCAGAGTGGCGCATCGAAGCTCGGTCAATCCGACCCGGAGGCTATCCAATCGTGCTCAACCACACCCGAGCTCTCGAGTCATGATCATGAGAAACATGGTAAACAAAAAGAAAAGGTTGACCTGTTGGGAACGAAAGTAAAGGTTCCTTCCTTTCGTCAATCGCCCTCAGGATTCGACTCCCCCTTTAAGTCCTGGTCAAAAGTCAAAACCGGTACCAAACATCCATACAAAAAATCTGCAGACACGACACAAATTCCAGATATGACTTCACTGCAATCTAGTTCAACGATAGAAGCTCGTTCGCCAACGCCTCTGATCTCCAAGTCAGGGAAACTGATTCGAAGCCCGTTCGAAGAGATTCAGATCCCCAGGCCCAAGCTCCCATCACCCACTGATGAAGTGCAGAGATTAAATGTAACTGGAGACGAATTGGTTGTATGGATCAATCCTATCAACAAAGTCAAGTCCATAGTGAACAAAAGAACGGGCCTTGTCGTAACTGCAAAGAAAGACGAAAAGCACAATGGCTTTAGGCTTACCTCCGATACATCCTCTCGTTTGACCACAGTCAGAAAATCTCATACAGACGACAAGGGACCGAATGCATGGATTGACGACATTCTTAATAAATGGGAAAATCCAATTTTTGCTCCCGCTGAGACCTCGATACCTCAAGTCTCGATCGATGGATTGGATCTGGAGACACAAGAAATCATACATGGCCGTCATCACCACTGCTCACAGATCGAAATCGAAAGGGCATTTGAGGAAACTTCATCAGGGCTTCATGGGCGCATCTCAAAAGATGCTCTGCGTGATGCAGAAATTATCTCACAAGTGGATAAAAAATTCATTCTAGTCAATCTTCGAACAAGATATGTGCTGGGTATTGAACCAAGTACTCTTCTCGTGATTATCGATCAGCACGCAGCCGACGAAAGAATCCGATTAGAAGCTCTTTTATCAGAATTTCTCAGGCCTCCCACAATTTCAACCACTCCATCTTCAACATCAGTGTCAACTTCTCCTCTCGCCAAACCTCTAGCTTTTGATATCTCAACAAAAGACTCTATACTCTTCCATACCTACATAAGCCACTTTAATTATTGGGGAATTCTTTATTCTCTTTCACCCACCGCTACCATTATCACTGTTCAACATCTTCCACCACTAATAACCGCCAGACTCGTCGCAAACCCAAGCTTACTCCTTCATATTCTTCGCGCAGAACTTTACTCGTATCATGAGCATCCAACGTCGCATCCTACTATCACCAGTTCATCCACTTGGATTGAGAGAATCTCTTATATCCCAAAGGGGATATTGGAGCTATTGAATAGTAGAGCTTGTAGAAGTGCAGTTATGTTTAATGATGAGCTGGGTATTGGGGAGTGTAGAGAATTGGTGAGGAGATTGGCGGAGTGTAGGTTTCCGTTTATGTGTGCGCATGGGAGGGTTAGTATGGTGCCTGTGGGGGATTTGGGGATGATGGAGATGGGGAGAATGAGAGTTAGAGATAGAATGAGGGATGGGGTGGGGGGACGGGCGTGGGTTGATAAGGGAAATGAATTGAGGGATGAGAAGGATAAGAATGATCATGATGGAGGGTTTGGTGTTGAGTGGGGTAAATGGATGAGGCGACGAGTAAGGAGATGATGAATAATTACGAGTATAGAGAAATCTTATCATGCCAAAATAGTGAGATCTGTATATAGTGTCTAGCGTAAACGTTGATAGCATTACTATTACTCTTGGCACACCTTATCAATTCGCGATAATATTATACCTGGAAATATCAGGTTTTCTATAGACTAAGTATAAATTCAATATCGAATAACTTTTGATTTATTAGTCTTCTTTACTATAGTTGGAATTCTTTTTATAGATTTTATAAATGAATTATACTCGAGTAATTTGAAATAAGAAAAGATATCTAATTACCAGTTTATTTTTGTTTTTATTTGTTTTTATATCGAATAACTTTTGTATTCTAGTATTAAAGTGAATTTATTTTTTGTTTTTGTTTTTATATTATTTAGATTCTATTTTTTAAATATTAAATAGATAGTAGAGAGTAGAGATGTAAAGAAGAGAGAAAAGAAAAGAAGAGAAGAGATTGAATCTATACTATAATAAGAGATTAGAATGTTTTTTGAAAGAGTAGAATCTAAATTTGAAATAAAAGAATAGAATATAATCTATTCGAGTATAGTTATATTTTAAGATTTTATCTCTATAATCAAAACTTTGAGATTTAACTTTTAAGCTATCTTTATAAGAGAAGAGTGTTTAGTAATCTTTTTATACTTGATATTTAGTTTGTTAATTGACTATATAATTGAAGTAGTTTAATTAGTGAGTGGTTTAGAGAGTGAATTGGTGAGTAGTTTGGTGAGTGGTTTGGTGAGCAAACACGCCACCAACAAACAACCTGTGCATGTATGTAATGGTTGTAATCTTGTAATTTATTGGCGCAGTCATTGCATCCATTGGAAACCTTCCCAGTAGAAGTAAAAACTGCACTAACCATGATTAGGCCTATTATTCATTTATGTTGTTGGAATTATTACTGAGTACTGATACGTGTACACACGAGTTCCTTTTTGGATCTAAGACTAGGGAAAATCTCTCCTGTATCAACAGCCTTGTTCTATGATACAAACTATCGCATCTCAAGCCAGTAATGCATAAGAGATACAATCCAGTCTCGTCTTTTGATAGCATCATCCTTTCAAAACACCTGACTTCCATATTGCAGTTATACTTTTTCAATATCTAAAAACCCAGAATCATGTGGTGGCCTTTCAAGGAAAGATATTCTGAATGTCATCCAAAGGACACCGACTCTAAAACTTATGACTATGTTGTAATAGGAGGTAAGCTCTATTCTTTTTGTTATCTTCTTGTTCTAACAAACATGAACTGAAGTATCAATCAATAACACTCGTATGGATTTTAGGTGGCACAGCGGGGTGTGCTTTGGCCTCACGATTGAGCGAGAATGCTGATATCTCCGTTCTTGTGCTCGAATACGGTCCTGCAAATGATACATGGTTGTCTCGTAATCCGGTTATATCTTCGGATCCCACCGTTCCAACTTTTGGTTCTACAAGATGGCAATGTGAGACCATGGAGCATTGCGACAATCGTCGAAGCGGGGTCATTCGAGGTGAAGTTCTCGGGGGTACTTCAAGAATCAACAGCATGATTTATACAAGAGGATGTGCTGCAGATTACGATGCATGGGCAGCATTGGGCCATCATGAGTGGAGTTACGACAAAGTATTGCCTTACTTTGTCAAAAGTGAGACCTCGTTGGACTATGGCAAGTCATCTTACCATGGAAATAGCGGTGAGTCTCATTATATAGATCGGTGATCATGAAAGTTGACCGTCTATGCTACAGGTCCATGGATTACACGAACCTTTTCTTATTTGGACTGGTTGTATCCAGTATATCGAGTGTCAGTATTTTCACAGCCTCCCATTTGAATTATCCCTAACTTCGTTAGTTTCGCCGACTGCACTAAGGCTATGGGGTTCATACTTATTCCAAACTCAAATGCATCGAACGCTTCCGCAGACGGACTGGCAACTTTGTCACTTACTCTCAACCAACAACGAGAGCGAGTATCCAGCTTTTAGGCATTTTTGTCACGAAAGATTGCTTTGGAAAGAAAAAAATCTGACAATCTGTACAAACACAACCATTGCTCGCATTGGGTTTGAACAAGGTCATGGGAAACCGTGTACCGACAAGATATTCTTCAAGTCTTCTGACCCTGCTCTTGAAAAGGTCTATGCAGCAAAAGTCAACAAAGAGGTAATTGTGTGTGCGGGAGCTATAGGTTCACTCCAAGTCTTGATGCTGAGGTTGGTTTCTATATCTTGTACTGTTACCTCTCGAGAAATGAACTAACGTTTCGCATAGTGGTATTGGACCAGGCGAAGAACTCAAAAAACACGGCATTGATGTGGTTTATGATCTTCCAGGAGTTGGGGCTGAGCTGGTATGTTCGAAAGATAACCTGATTTTCCAAGTTCTGTGCTAACATACGGGGTGCAGACTGAACATCTCAGCGTTCCAGTTGCGTGGGAGGTGCTACCAGCCCTTTCAGGATTGTACAAGAACTTTTAAGGTACATCTTTCATCGAGTGGGTCTTCTAAGCATACCGTTTCAGACTTTGGCCCTATATGTTCGCTCTCGATTGCTCAATACAGAACATACTGGAATTATCAGCACAAACAAGGACTCGTCCGATCCTCTAGATTTCATCCCCGATATTGAACTTATACCACTCTCAACAAGTGCAATGGATAACTTTGACGAGTCAGAGTTCAAGCTCATATTCTCCAAAACCCCCATCTATAGCGTCCTCGCCACGATGTTGCAACCACAGTCCCGCGGGACGGTCCGCTTGACATCTTCAAGTCCGCACGATAAACCTCAAGTTGACTACGGAATCCTGTCTAATCCTGCAGATTATACCGTCGCACGAAGCGCTGTTCGTCTAACATTGGCCATTGCAGAAAGAATGAAAGCATCAGGATTTCCTCTAATTCGCAACATTACTTTTCCAGAAGAGAAATAGCGGCTTGATGTGCAAAGCAACAGCACAGAAGAATTAGACAAGTTCATTCGAAAGAGAATCAGAACTACTTTTCATTATGCATCCACATGTCGGATGGTACCTGAGCATGATGCGACGGGCAAGGCGCCTGGTGTGGTGGATGATGAATTGAGAGTTTATGGCGTGAAAGGATTGAGGGTGTGTGACACGAGCGTTTTCCCGAGAATGGTATCGGGACACTTGCAGGCTCCTGCTGTTATGGTTGCTGAGAAGTGTGCAGATTTGATCAAGGCTGGCCATCAATGATTGATGGATTACGCAAGCGCGGATTCACGTCGTCAGGGTACATGGAGAGTTGATTGATTCCGTTGAGTCGACAACAATACTCGATCAAAATCCTACATCAACCACTACCTTTTTAAAAATTGTGATTCTTGCCTTAGATTCAACTGATGTAGAATGAAATAAGATGCAATATCATGTTGCTATGCACGCAACACCAGCAGGATAACCAGGAGCCAGAAGGATTGCAACAGCAGCATGACCAAATCCTCTTATTCCATAGACGGACGAGTAATGTGAAATTCGAAAGAAGATAATTCACAATCGACGATTCTGCTTCAAAATGTCCATGACACAATCTCTGGGCAGAACAGATGTATTGTTATATTGCACAATTGAGATACCGGTGTCCAAATCTTCCGCAGATTCTACTTATAGAATTTACTTTAAGTAAAACTATCATTCACAACTCCGCACCGCTAATAATCAATACACCGGTAATAATCAATAGCTCATGAAAAAGATTGAATCCAATCACTCTCGGGATATCAATAGACTAGACTCTGTCCCCCCCTTCCAAGAAATGCACCAGGGATTAAGCTTTTGCTAAGCCTCTGCTAACCACCAATTTCAAGACTTGCATCCTCGACTTTAACGAGTGGTAGAGAAATGGTAGCAACTGGGTGGACAAGTGTTATTTCTCGAAGATTAGTCATCAATGGTATCGAGAGAAGAGGCAGGTGCTAGGTGAACGCTTTGCCTATATGTTTGGTGTACCTTCCTTTTGAGATTTACAGTATAACCGAAATCGCTGAGCTTACTCAAACCTCACGAATCTTGACTCTCACCTTTACTTTCACAACCACACAACAACAAAATGGCGAATCAAGATCATCCTTTCGTTTTTGAAGACGGTGATGTACGAGCCAAAGCCACTTACAATGGACAAAAGATTACTTTCAAACTATGCTCCTATGCGCTTTGTTTCGCCAGTCCAGTCTGGAAGAAATTCGTCTTTCCTCCATTTCCCCTCTTACGTTCTACAAATGCTGCAGTCGATTCGCAATCAAAGAAGTCTCGAACAGCTTCGATTGACCCGTTTCCCGATATTGAGTTGGACTTCACGGAAGATGACCCAGCAGCTCTGTTGGTACTTTTGCGGATTACGCATTTAAAATTCTCAACCATTGCTTCATACTTGCCATACGACACTTTGTACAACTTTGCCGTCCTCTGTGACCAATATGATTGTAGGAAGCTGGTAGGACCATTGGTGAACGTTTGGTTGAAGCACGAGTGGGACGACGTGAATTTGCATCAGGGAGGATGGTTGTGGATTGCGTATTACTTTGGGGCGAAAAGTCTGTTTGCGGATTTATTGGAAGTCCTTACATGTCAAGCAGTTCCTGGAGACAAAGGCGATTGCTTAATACGCCGCCCACACTGGTACCCTAACTCTCACTGCGCAATGGATGGAACCATGATCAACACGTATTCATTGGAGAAGGAAGGCTATCCATTGCCACCTAAGATTTCCGGTACGTATCACTCTATAATCAAATTCCTACGTGCTAACGGTTCATAGAGACGCTGCTGAGAATTCGTACCGACGTAATTTCACTTTTGCTCTCTAACATGATGGATTTTATGGACCTATTATCAGGCGATGAAAACTCGGTAAACTGTAAGGAAACATGCAATTCAGCCATGCTTGGGCTCATTGTCAGAAAGCTCAACTCCCACTTGTTCTGGCCCATTCCAGAAGCTGAAGACGTCGGTTTCTCCGCTTCCGAATTACATGCAAGCATTACATTCTTGCTCAAAGAAGCGCACAAGGCCCATCAGACCATTAAGATACCTCACAAAGGCACGCCATGCCGTCTGTATCTGTCAAGCATGTTGAACTTAGTTCATGGTGGAGAAACGTGCAATACACAGTTGCCCGTTGTTTATGGATCCAGTAGCTTTGGTGATTCCCTCAAAATCTATAATGCAAATTTGGACCGTGCAACTAGGGATGTTGGAGAGATCGACGACTGGAATGAATGATCACGATACTTACTACAAATCTCGCTATTTCGCTATTTGGGCTCTCATGGACTGCGAGGAAATTCGGGTGTGGAGAATTGGCTGCTGGACCTTGAATGTATTGATCAATATACATTGCATGGTCATACACTAACAATTTGAATGAACTACTTGCAAGCTCTAATTTGCTGAATCAATGAGTGATAATGAATGCTCAAGTCGCATCTAGATCTCTGAATATAACGTGAAAACTTGTTTGAAGATGGATTTTGATATAAAGTATACCTTGCTGCTTTAATTTATCTCATTTCAAATCTAGAGCAGCAAGTAAGATGACTAATCAGAAAATCGCATTAACCATCTGGGCCTGTGCAAATTTTGAACATCGCACAACTGGCATCGACATTCACTCAACTCGAAAACAATCGGAAACAATTAAACCTATTTCTGAACACTTGAGACTATGTCGAGGAATCAAATCCTCTCCTGGCAAATTCAGGCTCATACGTTCATCTCAACGACACGATAGTTCGTCCGAAAAGAGAAGTTGAAACCACTCAGCCGCTATTTCAAGCTACTTGTGAATGCTTTGAAACGAATGGAGACATATTTACCCCTTTTGGGAAATTGGATAAGCTCTTGGATCTAAGCATGGCAAATTCTTAAACAGAGTTGTTTCGTCGTATAGCGTTGACAGCGTCAAAACTTTTCTTATCATGTTGGCTTGATTCAAGTGTTGGATGAGCTCATTTGTGTCCTTCGCGCCGGGCCAAGCATGGAATTTGATATTAACAAATATTGACCCGCTATGGAACCAAATATTCTATTCTATTGATTATTCTGGTCTCAATGCTATCATCGGGTTTTGATATTGGGACCTTCGGATCACCTAAACCCCAGGTCGATTAATGAATGGTCCAGAATTTAGATATTCTTGATCTCCAGCCTCTTTTAGAGATTTTCTTGGGAAAATCCCATAACCTCATCCGATGTAAATTAAGGGATCCATATGGCAAGTACCCATCTTCATATCATCCAATAACGCGAGGATGATATCTGGAGCAAGGCTCGATCGCTTTACAATGATCTTCGCAAGTGTGGGATCACCCTGTCGGGATCCTGTAGTGGATCGTTAGAACCCCTGACTTGTTGGAAAAGAATCCTGAAAGATCCAATTTTAGGACCACAAACGCTTGAGCCACATCACCCAAAATTCAACCTCTACAGTATTGAAGCCATTATATCATGTCAAATGAGACCAACACACCAATTTCCCGACCCATTTTCAGTAATGCCATAGCATTTCAAACCTCGGCTTTCTTGAGGAACTCCGCGCTGGTCATCATGGGCGTAAATATAAAGTATACTGTTTTCCGCTCCTCGGCTGACCTAAGGCCCGAAGGAGCTTCTAATTGTCTAATTCCATCTCTTCTTCCTTCATCTCCTTACAAATTAGTACGTGATTTGATTGGTTCCAACACTTAGCCACGAGACAGAATAAGATCAGGAGGTTATTCACATCAACATTCATTAAAGAGGAAGGCGAAGTTAAAGTCGCAGTAATTGATCTCTTAACTCTCCCAAAACACCCACAAAACGCCTCGAGAGCTCCTCCAAGATCAACAAACAATTTTTCTGCTGCACACAGATACTCTACAAAACAATATGCATCTCTTTCTTCGTCAGATATTGGCTTCATTGTTTGCTTTAGCCTTCACTTCTTCGGTTGTGGATGCTGTGCCAACCAATTTTCAGCGAAATGACCCTTCACTTGTGAAGAAAGCAGTAGATGTATCAAAATTGACACGGATCGATTTTCAAAACTACGCCGCATCCGCTATCAACGCTTTACAAAAGACATACTGGAACGACAGTGCAGGACTCTGGGGACAAGCTGACAGCACTGGAAAATTCAATGGAGAGTGGTGGCCTAGCGCAAATGTACTTACAATGATGGCCGACTACTATGAGAAATATCCGACTACCGCTACATGGATGCCAGATCTTTTTGCGACCGTTTTAACCCACGCCCCGGCATTTGCTTTTCATGATTTTCTCAACGGCTTCTACGATGATGAGCTCTGGTGGGTCTTGGGTTGGATTCAAGTCTATGATGCGACTGGAAATGTCACATACCTCAATACCGCTGCCACCATCTACGAGGACGCCAAGTCTGTTTATGGCCAAACTCCTTGCGGAGGCTTATGGTGAGCTACGCCCATCCGTTTATCCCCATTCACTCTCCCAAATGGTACCATATGACTTGATATGGCTCTTTACTAACATACATCTTCAGGTGGGACAAAGCTCATTCGGGCGTCAACAGCATAGAAAATGAACTCTATTTCACAGCCAGTGCCAAACTAGCCAACCGTCTCCCCGCCAAGAAAGCCTCATCAGGCCAAGGATATTATTTTGAACAAGCCCTCGCTGCATACGCTTTCCTCGTCACCAGTTCCACCACCTCCATGGACCCATCTACTCACCTCTTCAACGATGGCATTTCCATGTCTACTTGCAAAAACAATGGCGGTATTGTTTTCACCTACAACCAAGGCGTCATCCTCGCTGGCCTTACAGAACTCACCTGGTCCACCGGCAATCATGCGTATACCGCTCTCGCCGTCCAAATTGCCAACTCTGTCATTGCAACCCTCACGACCTCCGCCGGAATCCTGCAAGAACGCGCTTGCGAACCTAATGCATGTGATGCCGACGAACAACAATTCAAAGGCGTCTTCACTCGCAATCTCGCATTTCTAGTCAATAGAGCAATGGGTGTTGATGCACAGACTCTCACCACCTATCGCAACTTCTTGGCCAACAATGCGGCCAGTATTATCCAACACGATATGGATAAGAATAATATGTTGGGATTGGTATGGAGTGGCACGGCTTCCCCGACTTACAGCTTGGAAACGGATGGAAGTGCCTTGGATACACTTGTTGGAGCGTCGATTACGGCTTTGAATTAGGAAGCTTCGGCGTCCGCAATGCTGAAAGGAATTATTTGGAAGGATCTCAGGAGCTCACAGAGAGAGAGAAAATAACGTATTCCCCCCACGCCTTTTTTTTATTTTGCATTGGCATTCGTTGTTTTTGATTCGTTTTTGTTTGGTGATTGGATTGGCATTTCATGCATTTTTGCATTTCGAAAAGATACCATTTTGCATCGCATCGCATCGCATTGCATTGCATGATCCTTTCACTTTTCACTTTAATTGTCTTTACCTGCCTGGCGTTGGGGTTGGGAAAATACATTTGGAAAAGGAATTATTTGGCAGAAGATTTCGGAATTGATGCACGTACACACGATGGTAATTTTGATAGTTATCATAGAGTTAGGTAGGTACTTACTTGCTGCAGTATCTTAGATGGGTTGAGGGATGTTTTGGCTGGATATTTTCGGCTGGATATTCTGAATACCTTTAGTTGGATACTTTGGCTGGATATTCTGAATTGGATACTTTTGGATACTTGGGAAGGTCTAGATATATTAGATAATGCATAATCTAGAATAATAGCACATATTGCAAAAAAACAGCAAATTACTCTTATACCACTGAAGGTGAAGTATATTACTCTCATATCCTATTCTTAGATAATTAGATTCTACACTATAGATTCTACCTTACTCCTTCACTATAGATTCTATCACCTCCCCCCTCCCCCTCTGTACCTAAAATAGATTCTACGAATATAGAATCTATTATACTATAATCTAAATGACATGAGAGTAAAATAGTTATAATTATTGTATCATAAGAGTAATATACTCGAGTAATTTACTTTTACTCGAGTAGTAGTATCAGAGCAATTCACTAATGCTCGAGTATACATATCAAATAAGATTATATACAGTACGTACTGTAGATTCCCCTCGAGTAATTCATTGCTCTATTTCTATCGTCTATCGTCTATTGTGATAGATTTAGATCATGATACCTTCTTACTCGAGGATAATATGATTAGTAGATAGTTGTAATTGATTAAAATATATAAATGATTGGATGTTTGGATGTTTGTTTAGAGAGAAGTAGAGAGAAGTAGAGAATGAGAGATTGATGGTTGCCGGCTTTGATATAAGGATTTAGTTATTTTTATTTCTCTAGTATGAAAATGGGATTCTGGTATTGTTTTCGTTTATAGGATTGGTTTAGGTGATTATACTCGAGTAGTGAGAAATTTGATTATATGATATATATATATATATATATGAACTCTAGACTCTGAAGTTATATTTGACACTGGCAACGGTAGAATAGTTCGGAAATTGTAGGGGGGTTAGAGCTAGGAGTATACTGTTATTTTTGATAATGAATATGAGAGTTATTTGTATTCTTCCGGGAGGAGGAGAGGTTGGGTTGATGGGTGAGGTGCAGATGTAAAAACTCGTTGTGTGCTATGCTATGGTATATACGAGTACATGCGTCGAAATAATTTGGATTGCAGAAAATGGAGCTGATTTTCCTTCCATACAGTTTCGCTTGCGTTGGAAAATGCATACGGAGAAAATATACACGGCGTGAATGGATTTAGGTGAACGGTATAACGATAATTTTAAGTTATAAATTGGATTAATAGAATCACTATACTATGAAAGTATCATCGTATAATGTATGCGTTAGAAAGGAATAGAAAAAGGAAAACTAATATAGGGTTTGAATCTCCCGCTCTTTCTAGACATTAAGAGTAAAGAGGAGAAATTTGCATTTAAGAAAGGAAAGAATGAGAGAATCAAAACACACCTCTAATCACACATCTACTATATATATATCAAAGGCCTACAAACAAAAAATCTACATTTCCAAACTCCTCTTCGTTGCCATCATCACACTCCTACAATAAGCATACCTCACTCTATCCTCCTCCAACCCCACCAACCCCTCAATTGTCGTTCCCCTAGGACTACTAAACTGTTCTCGAATCTCATCACCCGTCCTCCCATTCCCCTTGACCTTCGCCTTCCCATTCCCATTAACCGAACCATCCCACTTCCCATCATCCATACCCACACCCCCGCCCTCCCCCCTCCCCTCCAACAACCCCACCAATCCCTTCAAACTCCTCACCAAAATATCCCTCCCCTCCGCCCTCTTAATCCCCTCCTTCACACCCCCATCCAAGATCCCATCAATCGCCACCGTCAAAAACGCCATACTAGCCGCCGCCAACACACTCGCCGCATCATACTGACCCGGTCCAACCTCCACTATCGACCCTATACACCCAAAAATATAACGCACGATATTTTTATTTCGCAGCGACAGAGGCATGCCCGGTGAAATTTCAACCACGGTATTCGACTCCCCAAAACTAGCCGCCAAATTCGGCATTGCGCGAACAATAGTAATATGCTTATTATCCCCACCCTCCTTATCCTTCCCCTTTACGTTTAAACTCGCCCCTCCCTCACGTACCGGTATCCCCAGCGCAGCCAGCATCTTCCCCACCTTCGTTCCCACCGCCACACTAACGACCAATTTTCCGCCCAACGCCTCGCGCACCCCCGCTATCTTTAATACCCCCTCAATCATATACGGTTTACACGCCAACAGCACGATATCGGCCTGCGAAATAGCCTGCAGCACCCCATCATTGCCAACCAATATATGAACACGTGATTCCCGCGCGTGAAATTCGGTGCGCAGTCGTTCCATGGAAGCCATGCTATGTACCGTGGCGATGAATGTGTTGATATTGGAACTATTATTGGAGGCGGAAGGAGGCCCCGAGGATCTGGCCGTTAGGAGTCCGTGGAGGATCGAGGTGCCCATAATTCCTGAGGGGGGCGGTCATGTGATTAGTGGGTGGATGAGTCATGGTGTTGTGTGTGTGAGTTCATGTGAGATGAGATGAATAGGGGAAATAAATAGGAGAACAACATACCACAGCCAATAATCGCAAGTGTAAGACCTCCATTTTCTTTATTTTTGGGCGATGTTGCGCGGTCTGGACTTGTAGACATGATTGCGAAAGCTGTGCGGGTTGGCTCGTGAATAATGAGGCTTCACGTCAATTCGTATGTATGTAATGGCGATCGCGAAAACAAAGTTTGATGGATAGAAGTGCAATTAAGGTTCTCCTCGTGCGTTCTTGCGTTCAAAATGTGCTTTGAGGATGGTGCTTGGATACTTGTAAGAATAAGATGGACCCGAGATGAAGCATGAAATTACGGCCGCAATCTGACGGCGCTAATCCTGGATAGGACATCCGGCTTATGCCAGCCACTCTTATTATTGGTAAAATAATGAATGAAAGGTTAATTTTTCCGATTTTGGAGTGTTTCACTGGTTGTGTACTTTCGTATTTTTGACAATTGATGGGAATTACTTATCATGCTCGACAATTTAAGGGGCTCGGCTGCGGTTGTTATACGGAACCTGATGCGAATTGCTGATCTCTATTGGGGAAAATAGAGTTGGTAAAATCAGCCTTTTTTTCCCTGTTGATTCGCGAATGGGAACCGTTTATTTCAGATTGCGGAATGTGGATTTCCATGGAACTGAAAAGAATTGTTTCTCATGATAGCCTAGTCCTCATCAATACCACGAAGCAATCGGTAGGTAGTCTGTTGTTGCCATCAACCTGGTTATACTTTCTTGGCTGGTTGTATTGCTTCGGGACAAGATAGCGGCTTTTCATACCTCTTTTGAATTTGATGATTAAGGCATTTCGCGACCTATTGTGAACCTTAGTCAAAAGGGAAGAGCCATTCGTACAAGCTCCAGCGAAGTGTAGGATTAACACCCATCTGGGAAGCAAAAGCACCAAGAACATCGCTCCAATTAACTTCTAACAGACCGAACCCATATCCGATTTCTTGCCATGAAGTTGTATCCACGGAAAGAGTCGCACAATTAACAGAAGTTAGCAGTCTCGTCTCCAGATATATAACAATCGAGTTGACTTGTTACGTCACGACTTATTAGCCTGTTGACTACGTACCACCATGCCCTCCCCTACATATGCATGATCCGTATACCATTACCACTATTAGGGTCGATGGGAAATACCCAGAGAGAACCACGAATAGGTATCATGCATTGCGGTAAGCACACTAAGGTCCATGGTCTGGACTTCGAAATTTTTGGTTCAATTCCATGTGTATTGATCGATATAACACAATGTCAAAGAAAAAGATCAATGATGCGAAAGATTCATCGCCAAGCTCTGCTGTGTCTTAGATTGTGTACACACGAGGCCGCATAGCAAAGACAGCGAAGTGGCCATGAGTATCTTTCACAAAGCCTGTATATATATCCCTCAATATCATGAACCTTCATGGAGGCCGAAAATTGTAGCTACTGACAAGGGAGAGTACATTGCGCGGGTTTATTGCGGAATACGAGAATTTCGTTCTCCGAGCCGTGTTCTGTGAAGAACTGAATCTTTACCCAAACACAACATAAGCGGTATAGATACATGGGCAACTCCACTCTACCACTACGAGTAGCCATGATAGACTTTGAACAGATGAAGGTTCCACAACTTCGAAGGGTAGTCCACATCATATGTGGCGGCATCTATAAGCTGGATTTTCCTGCAGATGTGGAATTCTTCAATAAGAATCGATGAATAACACGGACTGCGCCATCAGAATATTTTGCATCCATGGGAATAAAGTTACTCTGACCCATGATGCCGAAATTTGTGAGTGAATGGAGAAGATGCATGTCTGGGAACTTCGAAGTATTTTTAAGCGTTTTTATTCTGCCTCGCTTGGACTTGAAGTGATTCAGATAGGGAACTTGCTATAGACGGTAGCACAAGTAACTTTAAGGGAGTGGTGCAGCTCGGTTGGTTGAATTTGGTGGGGGAGCTCGGAGACGGAGGATTTAAAAATGGAGAGTCTGGAAAGTCTGGAGAGAAATGGAGGACACAAAAAGAAACTCAAGAGTAGCAAGAAGAACTCAGCGAATTTGATGGCTAGAATGACCACCTCATACTTCAGTTTCAACGAGGAAAGGAGAACTAGTCACATGCGAATTTTGCTAGGTTGACTTTGATCCCATAATTTATCGAAACAATTGATACCACCATCCAGGTATGTTTAATCGCTTTCTTGAAGATAATGTGTTTGCTGATTATCATTTAGTGCAGGGTAAACAGAGCTGAATGAGTCTGAGAATGAATTTTGGGACAAACATAGGGAATGGAGTGATGGCAAAAAGTAGAAGTGTGTTTACGATCCGGCTTATGCAGAAGGATCTACCTCGTGATGTTGCTGCGATAATGGTATTGTAAAATGGTGTGAGAGGTCATCCCACAAGTCTAAGGCGGAGGAAAGGCCGAACGAGAGGGCGAATCGAAAGTATGAGGAGATATAGAGCGCAAGCTGGATGGATATCTGACCTCATGGTTTTGCGCATGAGCGGTCGGTTATGGGCTGCGATAAGGAAAGTCGATTGTTGAATAAATTCATAGTCCTTATAAACTCAATATCGCACTGGCTGGTCTAGTAATGAATTGAGACCGTTGAGTACCTTTTGCCTTTCTTTCCGCTGGAATCAATCTGCAGATATTGTTTTAAAAAGAGACCTAAGATCGCCCTCACGTGATTCTGTGGTGGCGCGGGATTTGGAACCGCGTCTTCCTAACCTCAACCTCACTTGCCCGACGCGCCAAGAAACCTCACCACCTGATCCAGCCTCGAGTTAAATTTCATCAAATACTATGGACCCATCGAAAATGGGCGACCCAAGAGTCGAAGCAGTCCTCGACAAGATACATGCATCAGAAATGCGAGATCTTTTGAAGACATTGTGTAGGCATGGAAAGTTCGTGGTCAAGGTTTCAAGCGGTGAAATCGAGATTGATGGCCGTAACATTATCATCAAGAAAGATTTTAACTTCAAGTCAAGCAATGATGTAGAAGAGAAGGATGAAAAGGAAGACACAGAAGGAGGGTTGGGAAACAGTTCGCTGGATGGAGTTGATGAGGATGGAGTTGATGAGGATGGAGTTGATGAGGATGGAGTGCCAGATGTTGAAGATGAGAAAGAAGACACCGAAGAAGGTTCGGAAAGCGACTCATTGGAAGAATTTGATGAGGATGACGTGCCGGCTTTGTCGAAACAGCAAATACAGGAACTCATTTCGTCCAAGAAGAGGAAGCTCCATATGTTCAAGTGTGAGCATTGCAAAGAGGAATTCGATATCGAAAACAATTGGAAACGTGATTGTTGGTATCATCCAGGTACGTGTTTGTGTTTCCTGTCTCCTTTTCACGCCTTAATTTCATGCCCGGTTATTGATCCTTAGATTTATAGGAGAGAAAGATGTGGACGACGAATCTGATTTTTGGGATGACCATGATGAGCAATCCCATGGAGACCCATCGCTTCGTGAAGATGATCCAGATTTCGCTGATGGGTTTATCTGGGATTGTTGTGAGGGCTCAGGGAGTGCCACGGGTTGTAAAAATACGAGGCATAAAGTGACAGAAGAAGGAAGTGGTAGTAAAAGAGCCAGATACTGAGATTTGATGGTGTATGATTAGGCTGCGCAACGGGTACCCGCGGGGCGGATTATTGGCCTGGCGGGTCCCCCGCGGGTCCTCCGTTTGCGGGGCGGATAATAGAAAAATCTGAATGGGGACCCGTTGGGTATCCGCTGCAAATACTCCGCAAATACTCCGCAGATATAAGTTTTATAATATTTATAATATTATAAATATTAATATAATATTAGTATAATTATAAAAATATATTAGTTTTTATATAAATCTTTATATTAATTATATTAATATTATAAAAATTAATAAATTTGCAGAGTATTTGCGGGGCGGATAATTTTGAAAGCTCAACGGGTCCCCCGCGGGGCGGAGTATTTCTGCGCAGCCTATGTATGATGATTGTAATAGCGATAATAACGACAATGTATGCAAGATCTTGCCGATAAAGTCATTTGGTTGTGTTGTAGTGAGAAGGAGAAATATAAGATGAAAGTAGCTTTGAAATACATCCGAATGACAATTTTATTGAGCCACCCATTGCCTCTAGACTTCAGTCCAACCAGAAATTGAAAGCAAAGGTTCCAGCTGAGACTTTATGGAGCGAATATTGTTGGCAGATATTCAAATGTGTCTTCCTAATTCACCATGGTATGATTCTGTCCCTACATTTGCTTTGTTTCCTGTTATACCTCGGACAAATCAGTTTCCAGGGAGCCAAAGGACTGTTTTCACATTCACCATAGAGCACCAATTTACCATACAGCACACGGTGATCGGAACAGACTGTGCCGTCACTGATCAAACTGTTCGGGCTACAATACCTGTTCAAGCTCCCTTCGGAAGATTTCTCTCTTCTCCTTATAAAAATTTCTTTACCTCAATACCTTCAAAATGGTCGACTCAAGATTGACCGAAGAATTCGAGAAGATGGATGCTCCACAGCTCCGACGCCTCCTCACTCTGATGTGCGACAACAAAAGCTTCTCTCTGAAGCATCGCCGTGGAAAGCTTACTGTCATGGCTCAGAAAGTATGCGTTATAGTCGAAGGGCTTCATGACTGGAAATCTGGATTCTCTAGCTTCGACGATTGCGAGAATCATAAGGAAGGAGATGAGGATGAGGATGATGATAATGGAGCTGAGGTTGAAGATGTGCCAAGCAAATCCAAGGACGAGATGGACCAGCTAGTCAAATCGAACAAGAGAAAATACCCTGACTACGATCCCATCATGTTCAAGTGCGAGAACTGCTACAATCAATTCAGCATCTTTGAAAATCCATCCAATGATTGTTTGTGGCATCCAGGTATATTTGAAATCTCCGGTTCCTGTCCATATGCATCTAGCTAATAATCCCAGGCCAAAGAACGACAGATCTTGACGATGTCTGTTGGGCCGACCATGACGTGGAGAAGTACGGAGTTGTTGAAGATCTGATTGATGATCCTGACTTCGAGGATCGTTGGATCTGGTCTTGCTGTGGAGAGCTTGGAAGTGATTGGGGATGCAAATGTACAAGACATAAGATACTGGAGGAATTCGAAGAGCTTGAGGACTCATCCGAAGACTCATCCGAAGACTCATCCGGAGACTCATCTGAAGAATCGGGAGAGGTCGAAGAGCCGGCTTCCAAGAGGGCCAAATATTGTTTGTGATGGTGATGCACTGAGAAGACGAAGATCTATCATGGTTGTGAATTGGATGGTTGGATTATTGGATGACTGGATGATTGAGTACTTTTGGAATGGAGGGAATGTCAACTGTTTTATTTTTTTGAAAGTACTCGAGTAGTGGATGAAGAAGTCCTGTTGGACGAAGTTTTATGATGGCCAATGTTGTACTGGGGAAATAGAGTCTTCTTTTCGGATGGAGGAAACATTGATGTTATACTGGTTATATTTGAAGGTTATTCATATGATAATGTTGTTGCGATTCAATTTTAAGGCAAGCAGTGTAAGTGCATTGCTTATCTTATCTTCTTTCTTTCTTCAAATCGGGGCTGAACGATTATTTGGCAATAACTTCAACAATAGATTT